ATCTGTTGGGTCACACTGCTGCCTCAGGCAGTCCTTCTTGCCATAGACCTTCACAGAGGTAGGGGCAGAGGGACCATGTATCTTTACCCTGAGACAAACACATGGATCTCCTCTCCTCATGTCTCTGTGTTTCCTCAATCTGGCAATTGGCAAGCAACCTTCAGCCAGAATTTTGTTCTTTCAGTTACCTAGGCTAGAGCTTCCAAGGGGTCCCATACTACGGGATCACACGAGGCTCTTTTTTTTTTTTTTTTTTTTTTTTGAGGGGGAGAGAGAGAGAGAGAGAGAGAGAGAGAGAGAGAGAGGGAGAATCTTAAGGAGGCTCCATACTCAATGCAGAGCCCAACACGGGGCTCAATCCCACGACCCTGGGATCATGACCTGAACCAAAAACAAGAGTCAGGCACTCAACCAACTAAGCCACCCAAGCGCCCCACACATGAGGCTCTTTGAATGCCTTCTCGCTTGGCTTGATGTGAGAGGAATCCATCCTTTCTCCATTTAAAAAATCAAACAGCACAGAATTCTGACAATTCTCTTAGAAAGAGCTATCTCTCCTTTCAGAACTCACATTTTTATAGGCAGAAGTAAATGATGTCTACCATGGCAGAAATGGCTGTAACATTTAATGGCACATTCTTCTGAGGTGATGTAAAGATAACTGTAGGAAGTAGAGGCACCAGGCAACTATTGCACTTGCCTCTCAGTCAAAATTTGGAGAGACTATCATTTTAACATCTTGTGTGTGTGTGTGTGTGTGTGTATTAATTAATTACATGTTAAGTATATAATATGTAATTAATACATATTTTATATGTGTGTATTTATACTATATATATATGTATGATATATATAGTATATATATGTCAGTATATAGGTACAACAGACTTACATACAAATCTATCTGGACCTGGACACCCATTGTAAATAGTTAAGTAATTCTTGGAAGGAAAACATTTTTTTTTCTATTTATTTTCCCATGAATATTTCTGTAACTCAAATTTTCTGTTCTTAAGCCATTTGGTACATTTTATTTTCCCTGAAAAGTCCTAAGTGTCATTGGGATTTTCATAGCAATGAACAGAAACTTATTTATGCTGTTCAATAATAATTTAAAAAATGTCCTATATTTGTGATTTATGTACTTTCTTTTTATTTTCTGTATTTATTTTTATTTCTCATTTAAAATTGTTTTCCTAACTTCATGGACTTCTTTTTTTTTTTTTCAAAGTATTACTGCTTCCACACTTTTCCTTATTCCAAATATCTAGTTTCTCCCCTTACATCATTTCTCTTATTTTAAAAAATGGATTATATTATCTCTAACTTTCTCAGTTGAATTCTTAATTCAACACGTCTCTTCTTTTTAATGTTGAATTTGTTTAAGACTCTGAGGGTGCCACTGAGTACAACTTTTGCTGGTTTAAATATTTTTTGTTTATGTCTTGCTTCATATTTTAAAATTTTCCCTTAACTGGATTTTTTATTTCCTCTTTAGAAGAAAATTACATTTGTTTGCTTTTTTAACATTTAAAACATTTTCTATTTGTTATAATTTTTTTTTAATTTTGGAACAGCAGGGAGGAAGAGTAAGAAATTAGACGGCTGTGTTTCTAGCTGCAATACTGTTGGAGCATAAATTTACATTTATCCAATTCTCCTGTTTACTAGTTCTGTCAAATTTTAGTTCTGCCTTCATTATTTCTTCTTTAGAAAAAATTTCCTTGACTTTCTTCTTTATATACTGTTTGCTCTTTTACTGAGTCTCACCCATTGCCCTTAGTCTTTTATCTCATTTCTGAATATACATTTTCTTGATATAATAGCTGATAATTTCTAAGGTGCAACATTATAGCAAATGTCATTATGAAAAAAGTCATGACCTCTACAGGTTGAAAGCTCTGTTTGGCCTTTGCTCTTGCCTGCAAGTGGCTTCGCTATGCTCCTGCTGGAGTATTTTGTAATCTCTTTGCCTTGACTCTACAGAGATTCCTCTAGGGCTTGTGTCTGTCTAATAATGGTGAGTGTGGGAGAGATTGAATGAATCTTCTTTATTTATTCTATTTACCATGTACGTGCACACACAAAATCCTTATTTCAGATCATAGGCTTGGGGGACAGTTGACATAGATTTATACTAAGATTTCAGTGATGTGGCACCTTGAAGTGAATGAATAGGGAAGTATACAGCCAAACGAAGAACTAACTCTTGCTTTGCTGAAGCAGATGATCTGAGGACCACCATTGTGTACCTGTTCTTCTCTTAATGGAAACAGTGGATGTAGCCAAGGCCATAGGTATGGTCTCTCTCGTCTTCTTCCTGATACTGCTACCTGTCATATTTGGGAGAGGAAATAGTCATTTTGGTAGCTATCTGATTGTTGTATTTCATGTGTGAGAATTTCAAATAACCCACAAAATTGGATGCATAGTTCTATGCTCTGCCCTCCTTTTGAGCACTTGTTATATTCATTTGTTGGGTTTAGTTAACTGAGGTTAGGATCATTTTCACTTAGCTTTGGAGATTCTACCTTATGGTGGACATTTTAACTATAATTATAATAAATTCCTCAAGATAGATAATGTTATAGCTTAGAAAATAAAGGTAAGTCTGCACGAATTCTGGTTTGAAATACAGCCCCTTACAATTTGTTATCTGTCAAAATCTCAGGCAAATTTCTTAACTTCTCTGTGCCTTGATTTCCTCATCTTTAAAATGGGAACAAGGCGCATACCTACTTCATAGGGTTACTATGATGATTAAATAAGTTATATGTAAAACGTCTAGTGCTGGGCATATTCTCAGTTCATTATATGGTTTGTTTTATGTTAATGTCATGTCTCCTGGGTTCCAAAGCTGATGGCACTTTTTAAATCATCATCTTCTTTATTTTGTAACACTCAGTTATTTTTTTTTTAATGTAGATTGAAGAGGTGAATTTAGTAAGCTGTATAAAGGTTTCTCTAGGGTTTATGTCTTTTTATCCACCTGTCTACATTAGTAAATACCATGATTTTGATGATCAAAATCCCTCAAGAGAGCTGCTCCAAACGACAGTTAATACTGTGGGGGAACCTAATATCTTTGTCTACCTATACACAGAAATATGCTTACACCAAAAAAACATTAATGTATATATGTGTACATACAGTATTTAAACATTGACACAAATCAAATGTAGGTATTTAAAAATCATTTGAATAACATATGTGACGAATATTTAAAGAGCTCTTTGAAAATATGAATGTGTTTCATCTAGACAATGACTTATGTAGCAATTAAAAATATGTGTAAAGATACTTTACTAATTGAGGAAATTATCAGAGACCATATGTAAAGTTAATAAAGCAGGATAAAATGTTTTAAATGCTAGATGACTCCAATTTTGTAAATGACATATGGTGTCTATATATTTGTTCGGTTAAAAATATTGGAAGGCAATATACTCAAATATTAATAGTGGTTATCTCCTGGTGGTGGCTTTAATATTTCTTCTTATATATTTTATGTGTAAGCATGTAAATTTTTTTCTAATTACAAATTAAAATTAAGATTCATGAAAATGGCACATTTCTGATGAGACCTAATTCATGCTAGTGACAATGTGTTATATTGCTATGCAAAGTAAATAAGCAAACAAAGGAAAGTTCAAGTAATGTCAAAACTGTCCATATTAGCCACTTCCAGAAATCAGTTGAGTAATATCTAAAACAAATTTCCAAAGTGATCATATGGAGACAGTAAAAATATCAGTGGTTGCTGGGGGTGGAGGAACAGAGAGCATGGGTAGGTGGAGTCCAGGGGAATTTTAGAGCAGTGAAAATACTCTGCATAATGCCATAATGATGAACACATGTCTGGATACATTTGTCAAAACTCATAGAAGGTACAATAACAAGAGTGAACTGTCATGTAATAACTATGGATTTTTGGTGATTATGGTCTGTCTACATAGGTTCTTCAGTTGTTTGAAATGTACCACTCTCGTAGGGGATGTTGATCAGGCAGAGGCTAGGCATGTGTGGGAGTGAAGAGGATATGGCAAAGGTCTGTACTTTCCCCTCGATTTTGCTGTGAATTTAAAGCTGCTCTAAAAACAAAGACTTACTTAAAACATAATAAAATAAATAATAAAATAAAACAAAAACAAAAACAAAAAAAACCCTCCCATTCATTGACTCCAGCCTATTATAAACTTCTTGCAATATTAACTGGGGAATAACTTAAAGGAGTTTTTCTTAAGTATTAAAGTTCACACATTTCTTTACTAACCTTATGACATTTTTAGTCAGAGACCTTTCCACCCCACCAAAAATATACACATACTGACCTATACAACAGCACAGCTTACAGTTTTGAGTGTTTACAGGCCGTATGAAAACTGTTCATGAACCTACAGTTTCTCCTTCCAAAAAAAAGAAAAAGTTAATGTGTATTCTATGATATTAATTGTGGAGTTACTTATGGTAGTAAATAAATCAAAGCAATTTAAATGTCAAATAATAATAAGGTTTCTAAATAAATCATAACATAGGAATAAACTGGAATTTAAGTAGCCTTTAAATTAAATCTTTACAAAGACAATGTACTACCATTGGACAGTATGATGTATTATTTTAAAAATTATAATGCAACATAGTAGGAGAATAACTGTGAAATATGCGCACATGTGGAAAATATACAAAAACACTGCTTAGCATGGTCTTAGTATTGTTGAATACATGCTGATTATTTTATTTTTCACATTTTCAGTAACATTAATTTTAAAATAAGGTGGAAAAAAATAGCAAAGCCAAAAGAAAATCAGTTAAATCTAATTAACTGTTGTGCAAATGTTCATAGCACCAGGTGCCTGTCTCTCCTTTTTCACTGCAGAAAGGACCCATGGTAATGCTTTATGATTATGATTATGATTATGATTATTATTTTCAGCTAGAATGGATGGAATTTGCAGGACAAGCTACTTTTTTACTGAAAGTCAAACTATGTTTTTTTTTTAAACATAGGAATACCCCATTTCTCAATCTCTCTGGTATACTTTTCAGCCGTTTAGGTTTTTGATCTAAGAAAGATTTTGCTTTAAAAATGATACTGCAGGAAAGAAAAAAGTGGAGGATGACTCACATAAACAAGACTGGTCATACTTTGTACTCGGCTTTGTTTGTTGGTTGGTTTGGCTTGGCCTTAATCATTAACTTACTGCAGTAGACTCTTCTTAGATCCTATGAGTACCTGAATTTCTAACTTCCCTCAGGTATTCCAAGTGAGCTTGCCTTTTCCTATTCTGCCACTCCATATATCTATGCCACACATTTTAATTTTCAGAATGTGTTGGCATCTGTCTCCGTATTTGATTCAGTAGCTTCATCTATGTTCAGCTTAGAATATGGAACATTTGGAGAAAACTGTCAATGAGAAAATAAGAATGGATTAATATTTAACAATTCATTCTACAAATCTGTGCATTTTTTCCCATCTTAAACATAGATTTTCATAAATTTGTGTCAAGTTGGAAGAAATGGCAAAAGTGTTGATTTTAGTATATTTAATGTTTGAGCTCAGTAGGCATAATTAATGCCCAACAGAAATTCTAAAAAATGAAATATTATTATGGGGAGAGTCCAGTTTACAGAGAATTATGAAACAGAAACCCATCTTATTTTGCAAACCAGTTACCTAATATTTCTTTACATTATTTTAGCCTTAGATTTGATTTTTAGTTGTATTTTACTTGAAGCCTTTAAAAATGTTATTGGTTTATTTTTTATTCAATGTTTAAAGATGATCATTTTCTTTTATTTGTTGTTTTGTTATTTTACATAGATGGATGATTTTATCTTTCTCTCTTACAAAATAGAAAATATTGTAAAAAAAACAACAATAAGAAGGTTGAAAAGTCTGTTAACGATATTTGGAAAATGAAAGGGCCCTAGGCTATGTCTGTATTTGAGAAGATATTGGCTAAAGTCATGAACCTTATTATCACTTACATTTGAAACATTACTAGTTTATTCCTCCACTAACACAACTCAAAAGAACAAAGCTATTTTCTCTACAAAATCACATTAGTCTCTCATTTTAGCTGAAAATTTCCAGTTTAATAAATGAGAAGTGAGATAAAAGGAACATGCAGTAAAAACCCAACCTAAGGGAATCTGAGTGTCCAGATTCATCAAAGACTACTCTTTAAGAAGATACAACAGGGAAATGGTAGTCAAGGAGTCACTCCACAGATGAAAACTTACATGATAAAGTCAAGATTATTATTAAATTGATCATTAATATTATGATTTTTAATAAGCAGTATGGTGTATCTCCCTTGAAAAAAGTGCCACAAAATGTAACCAAACTTTACTGGGGTGTCAAGGGACAAAAATCTACATTATTTCTGAAAGCCTTCATATCTACTTCACAGAGTAGAGAATAGCATTTTGAAATAATTTCTTGGAAAAAGAAACATGTATACTCCTTGAAACAAAATCACTATCATAGGCACAAGAGATTGTTCCTGTTTTTTTTTAAATTTTAAATAACTACTAAAGATATTCTGCTGACCATTTTGTATGTATTCTTCTGTGTGTGACTTACATACTGTATTTAAAATATGGTTAAATCAGTTAATAAAATATATTAATTATGAAGAACTAGGGAATTCATTTTTCATTTAGATTTAATATGTATAATTGGATACTTGAAAAAATAAGAGGGAGTCAAGGTATTTCCCTCAAATTATCTTTGAAATATACACAGTGGCCACTTAAATGTGTAATGATTTTAGGGTGAGTAGTATGTTCTTCCCTTTATTTCAGTTTGAACAAATGTATCTACTCTGCAGACATTTTTGATAAAGACAGGATTCAAAATCAGGTGTATAGGACAAACCTTAAAAGAGAATCACTGTATATTTTTGCTGTGTGCATTTCCTATGAAACATATTTGAATCCAAGGACATCCATGTCATGAGAGTTTGGACACATTTGGGTGAGCTGTAAGAGAAAACTCTACAGAAAAGGAGGACACGTTGACTTTTAAAATGCTGTGTGTTTGTGGTGTGTGTGTGTGTGTGTGTGTGTGTGTGTGTGTGTGTGTGTGTGTGATTGTTTAAGCCCTTCAATTTAAGTTGATTTCAGAAAGGACTGTATCAATGTAATGTGGAACAAGGTTGTGTGAATGGTTCATCAGACGTCTAAATAACGTCAAAAAGTTTAAAAAAGTGCATTTTCTTCTGGATTTTATAAACAACTAAATGGAATCCTTATGACTTTAAAAACAACACAAAGAGATGTATTGTTTTTGATTCACATAGTTTAAAATTCTACATTGTTTTACTGAAGACTAAGAAATTCAGACTTTGGGATATTGATGAAGAAAAATTATATGGAAGAATGTTAGTCCTAGTCAGGATGCTATGGAAGAGCAAATAGATATTGATTTGTCAGAAACAGTAATTAAAACCAAAATTAAATAAGTAAACTCTGCATTTTTTGGTCTATTGTGCCCCAAAGGGCAGATTATTTCCAACTATAATGTGGAAGTGTCCCCAGATAATTTATTGACTATTAATTGGAGGGTTTATCTTAAGGAGTTTGAGATGCAAAAATAATTGAGTATATCAACATGTATCCTGTGTATCTAGTGAGTGTCACTGCGTCTGTGAGAAGAGAACATGTTCAAAGTCTCATGCCTTCTCTGAAGCACCCTTTACTCAGGGTTTGATAAAGGTTCACAAAGGATACACTTTCTTTAAAAAAAAAAGCTGCAGCAAAATTTATTCCAGAAATCTGGGGCAAATTTTGATGCTCAAGGTTTAAAGTTAGGTATTCTTGTGGCCATCCTCTTTCTACTTTCTTACCTGTCCTAGGGAAATATACTTTAAAAATGACAAAGGTGATCCTGTCTATTCTCTATGGAAATTAAATGGAATATTATAAATGTAAGTCTTATTTATAGATTGATATACAGGTTCCAATAATTTTTGAGCCTTACAAGACATATCTACAACACATTCCCGAGGGGTTGTGTTGAAATGATTGCATGAAAAATGACCAAGTAAAGTCTAAGTTAGAGTGGTTGGATAACAGGTATTATTCAATTTGGAAGGAGATCAAAGATGAACTAGATCATCCTCCCTTTTTGACAGATGGGGTCATGGAGCTACTAGTATGTATAAGTCACAAGCTTTCACAAAGATGACTCTCAACATAAATTGTTTGCTATCGCACAATTAATTATTTCATAGGCAACAATACCTATGCAATTGATATAGATGTTTAGGACAAAAAGTTTTGAAAGTACTAGAAGCCTACTCTCTATTTTATCAAGATTGTGTCTGGTCACGTCTGCTATTAACTTCATAACTTCACTGGGAATCCAATATTAACGTGTAATATCCAACCCTTCCTCCCCCACCCCCCTACACCGTGTCTTCAACTCAACTCTGCACTAGAGCCTGTGGGCACTAGAAGCCAAAGGTACCTGTGTAGGCACCTTTGGGAGAACTTATGTTTATATTTGTAAAAAATATATTTGAGACCATTATAGCCATAGGGACAGCAATCATATACACCCATAGTTTAATCTTTAGGTTTAAGAGATAATCTAGCAGAGATTTTATTTCAGGGTCTTGTGAATTTTCCAGCCCAAGGATATTTCTGCTTACCTAAGAAAGAGAAAGTTCTGGAAAATGCATGTGTCACCTAAATATTGCAAAGTTGGCCGACCTCTACATAGTTTGATTTCATTGGATTTCACCTTAATATTTGTCAAATTAAGCAAAAATAAAGCTAACAAAATAATCAAACATGTAAGTTTCATATACATATTTTATATATACATATATGTTAAATATGTATGTATGTGTATATGTGTGTGTAGTCACAGTAGAAAATAGATTATTATAAGAAAACAATGTAGATCTTAAGGAATGAATTTCTTCCTTTACCCTCACTATTTCTTTAAAAGGGAAAGAAAAAATAAAAGAGGAAGAGATAAAGCTTATTTAAAGGCATCATTTCCCTTGACATATTGGGATGCATCTAAAATTGAGAACAGCCCAGAAACACTGTGCTGATCTTTCCTGGATGAAATCTGAATTTCTGAAGACTAAAGTACAAACACAGTAGAGATGTGCTATCATAGAATACACGATACTGAATCTATACAATCGAATAATAATAAAAAAGTATTCTTTATATAGAAAATGTTTCCCAGATACCAAAAGATCAAATAAAAATCCCGCCCCTCCTGCTCTGCTTCTAAGTATACTATTTCCTCATTTGGGAAATGTTTCACAGCTCTTGTCTCAGGGCGATATTTTCTGGCTTACAGGGCTGGAATCAAAGGAACCACCATCTCCCCTCACTTAGGGAGCCAGGGTTTCCTGTAGCACCATACAGCAGATGGGTGTGTGTGACTGCTGCATACAACAAGCGGACTCTGGTGGAGACCTGATTGTTGACAGCCTTCACCGTGGCCGCCAGAGGGCTCACTTAAATTGCAGCCATCATTTAATCCGGAAGCCAGTGTACACACTCTTGAAGTCTGCTTGGCCCTCCTTTTCTCGTTTTGGTAGGTCTGATATGCTATTATTATTATCAAAAGAGATTAATTTGTGGAGTTTTAAAATCAGTGCTGTTCCTCCTGCAGAAGACCTATTGCTACTTAGAAATGATGTGAATCGCTGGAGATGGAATAAATGGACAAATATTAAGTCCTTAACTCACAGCAAGGTAAATATTGGATTAGAGTGTAAAACAGAGCATTTAATAACGTACCAAAAAAGTCGAAAGAAAATTTGGAGGCCAATTCAACATCATTTCTATTATTTCCCATTAGCATAAAATTGGTCATATATTTTGCACAACAGCGTTCCACAGCAGTCACTGGCAACTTAGAATAACATATACTTTATGCATCAAAAAAAGACTAATCAGAAAATGATTCAGAGTAAAAAAATAATGAGTGACATTCATTATTCAGTAAATAACTAATCCGCAACTTACTTTATCACAAACCTCCAAATATCTTCACATAACAAAGACAAGGAACATGAAGCAAAATCAAAGGTGTCTTGTAGAAATAAGCACCTCTCTGTAGGCACATGCTTGAAGGACAAGGTACCGATGGCTCCAGGTGTTTGTCATGTTATATCAACTTTGAGTCTTGATGCTATCAGCACTTGTCAGGTGGTGCCCAAACATGTGCATTTTGGGCTTGGACCCTTTATACAGGAGAGCTTCATATTCCAAAAGGAGACAAATAACTAATGAAATAACCATTAATATCTGTTCTTCATGGAATATTTTGTCTTGATTATCAATTAGGAAGTAACTATATCTCTAAACTACATCAGACCACCAGTGGATATGCCTGATATTCATGTTCATCAGGATGCACGAAGGTGTTTATAATCATACGATGTATGGTTCCACTTTAAAAAAAATGAGTAGGGGGCTGGATTAGGACTCAAATTTGGTTGAAAATATTCAGTCTTTTCAGAGAAAATAATATTTGACTTGACTGCTGCAGGCCACGTAATTATAACCTGCTAACTAGGTGAAATCTGTATGAATCCTTTAGTTATACAACAGGTAACATTTTGATGAAAAACCGAAGAAACAAGGTTGACTTCAAAAGACTTGTGAGGCCTTCCAGTTAGTGTTTGTTAAGAGTGATAAATTTCAACCCAATAACATATTGAATACGCAGCTTATGGGATTTTTTTATATACTTGTAAATGAAGACCACCTTTCTGAGATATTCCCAAAGATACAATTTTTTAAATGGGAACCTAGATGATCTAGACATTAAAAATTTGTAATAATCTTTTAAGAGTCTAACAGCATTACCTCTATATTTAAAATAACATAAGTATAATAGGACAGTTAATGAATACCAAAACCTTTTGTTAAATATAAAATGCATTTCTACCAAAGTGTTTTTTCAATATTTGAGACCTTGAAGTTTCACTAAACAGTGTTGATAAGAAAACAATGATTTTTTTCCCTACATGGCATATGTCTATTATTAAAGAATGTTCTCAAAGAGCAATTTGCTATGTATTTTAAACAGAAACAACATAAACTCAAGAAAGAATTGTATATATTCAATATTTGTTTCAGAAATTACATTCCCTTTCAAGGTAATGTGAATCTTCCACAAGGAAATTTAACCAAAGTCTTCCCAGACTGCAGTAAAAGAAATCTTTTATATACTTTCAAATACTGTGCCTTTTTATTTAAAACAGTGTAAACATAACAACTCAACACCACCAATAATTGGAAAAGACCGGTTAGGTGAACACTAATTTCCTTGAATGCCCCATGAAAATAAGGGTAAATAAAACAGACGAATCTTCAGGAGAAGTTTCAGTTCACCTCAGCAGTGGTAAAAATATTGCTTTATTCCAAATGAACATACAACACAATTTACTGTTCTTTTGGGGGCTTCCTGTGAACTGAAAAGTCTGGGCTTTGTGATTTCAACAATTTATTCTTTCCATATTAACCACAGAAGCCAATGTCTTGGTCCACAAATAGTAGACTTGCTACAAAATAAATAATAATGAGGATGATGAGAAAGCAAAGGGTAACTTTCAGTTTGATAATTGGCTTGTGTAAATAATTTAAGTACGCATGATTCAAAATAAACACACATCCTCAACTTGCCTTGTGATACTGATACCATTAATGAGCCAATAGTTGTTCCTCTCAAAAGTATTCACACCAGAAAATGATCTTGACATTGTCAAGAGTTTTAAAGGACCCCGCCATGCAAGTGACCTTGATTTAAGAACTTACTAACTGAATTTTACACTTAATGTATAAATTCAAAGTGAACAGATCTGAGAGGGAAATTTCTTTTCTGACTATTAAATTCCCTGATGTTTCAGAACAAATTTTAGCAAGCTTAATATGCACACACATGCACACACATACACACAATGAACACATGTGCATACAGCATACCTGTGCTCAAGTGAGCAAGCACATACAGACACACGCCTGTGCGCACGTGCACGCACACACACAGACACACACACACACACACACACACACGCACAAAGGGCACGCACACACTGAGAAATGCTCCTCTGGAGCCCCTAAACAATCTCAAAGAAAAACACTTCTTTCTATTAGCATGATTTTAGTGACACGACATTGTGATTTTTCTCATCTCTTTTTCTATAATAATTTCACACCTCCCTCTGAGATTCTGTGCCTTCAAATTTCAGAGGAAGCTGGCACATAAGAGTAGCGAAGATTGTCCCCCAATTAGTCCTTCTATCTCCTACCCTCCCCCTTACAGCGTTTTTGTGCCATTCTTCAAAAATGAAATAGAAAACACTACATTTGTTGACAGGACATAACCTGTGATGAGGCTGTCGAGTGAATAGAAATTTAGGGGTTGGGACTGGCAAGGCAAATGGCAAGGGCCACTTGCTCCCTGGCACGTCCGCCCTCAGGATACAGCTCATCTCTTTGAAACCAGGTAACTGCCAATGCTTTTTTATGAGGACACTGGTGCTGTGGGGCTAAGGATCTGAATTACCCACATCTACTAAGAGCCAACGAGGCCGGTGTTGGGACTAACTGAAATTGTATTCAGAATTCTACCCAAAAGCTTTCGTTGTAAGCTTTATCCCTCCTGAAACGTTTCTTTCCCTTTAAAAAAATATTTTGTTAAAAAACAGTATGATATGAGGGCGATAGACTATTTGGTTTCTTCTAAGTAGATGCTCTTAAATTAATGCATATAAATAATTTGTATTTAATTTCCTCTCTTTCCTGTTGAGCAAAGCATAGAATGCACAGATTCCTCCATCTCAAGTCACTTGGTCAATGCGGAGTCTCTTTGTATTTCATTTCTTAAGACAAATTGTGCCTCTCTTTCTGATTTGGCCGTGGGACTCAGGGGGAGAAAGGCTGTGTTTTCACTTGCACTGTCCTCAGTTTCTACGCTGGCCAGTTCGTAGTCTTCTGACCGCCTGGCATCAGTCAGAATTCGGATCTGCTCCTGGACAGTTTCTAGCAATATTTTCACTTCTTGCTGTTCTGCTATAAGACAATCGCTGACTGGAATACTCACATTGACAATATCAGCAGAGTAGGAGTTTTTGCACCATTTGATGCTTTTGACTTCAGAAATCCCTGGCATTTGCATGCAGGTTTCCTCTAGACCCACTGAAGGGATGATGGGCACGGAACTGGCCCTTGTAGATGAATATCCCATCAGGTCCTTTTGATCCAAGCTATTAAAATAGGAATTTGTCTCTCTTGAAGGCAGTTGCATATTTATGGATGCATTTTGTTGGGTTTTTAAACCATTGGACGAATACCTGAAAAAGAAACCGAGTGTTACATATTCTGCTTTCGGCTGTGCTTCTTAGAGCAATATTCAGTCAACAAAGCACTTCCACATGCACCATCTCACTGAATTCTCACAGCAACCCCATGAGACGGATAATATGCTCCCAGTTAAACAGAGAAGTAAACTGAAGCTCAGATAGGTGAAGTGACTTGCCCAAGGTCACACAGAAAATAAGTGACAGACTGAGACTCAAACCCAGATCTTCTTACTTGAAGTCCAGGGATCTTTCAACACACCACAGCTGTATAGGCAGGTGGGGTATAGTCTTCCTGACCTCTATCCTAGAATACAAAGTAAATGGGGATTGAGCAGGTAAGTGTGGCCTTTCCATAGTGACAAACAGGAAACCCATAACGGCATTACTCCACTCCATCCATGTGACCACCCTCTCAGCCCTGGTTTAGTCTGTAGACTTGTGGCCACACTAGTTGGAGGCAATCAGGAAGCCCGACATCAAGCATCAAGGTACTACTGTCCTGAGTTTTACTGCTTCACACTGACTTTAGGGGGACCAAATCAATTTTCATTGGCACTCTATAGAAATGCCTCACTGTCAGACTGCTGAGCCTACAAATGGGAATGGAGGCCTATGATTCCTCTCTGGGGATGAACGTGAAGTGAGATCCATTAGACAGATTATAGAGCAGCTTTCTTCACATGGTTTCTGGAGCCAATTTAGGTATTATGTTGGTGCAGGGCAACAGCTTGACAAGAATGCCAACGTGCCATTCCAAGTCCTTTGAATAATATGCCAGAATCCGGCTAGTCCCCTAATTGCCTGTTCACAGCTAGTGAATTTTCCAGTGCCAGAAAGTGGGGGCAGGTATGTTGTAGATTCACAGAAATGTGGTCTGGGATCTTGAGCAGTCTCAATTCTCTTGGTTTATTTGTCCTTCATTTAAATGTTAAATTAAACATTAAAATTTAAGCATAATCTAAACATATCCACCCTTTATATAATAAATCTTATTCCCCTTGTCTTACACCACAATGTAAATAAAAATCATGTTTATAAATGGAAAGAATAATTGCAATGAAGTGTCTTGCAGACTAAACAGAGGTCTTTATTGTAAGGACACAAGTTAGAGCGACTCAGAAATCTGTCTCTCCACCAGACAGTGAAAATACATGAGGAACACATTTAGGTGTCTTTGCAGCTCCATCCTCTTTTACTATGCCTAATACAGACTTGGCAATCAATAAATCCTGATCGAAGGGATGCATGAATACATGAACAAACCTTCAAGATAATTGCTCCCTTTATATCCCAGTTAATGTCCATTTCAAACATAATAACAGCTGACATTTGCAAAATGTTTTTAAAAAGCATGCTTATGTCTAATTACCTCATTTAATTTTTTAAAACATGGGTTTATTTATTATTATTACCATGCAGTGATGAATAAATAAACTAAATTAAGGGGCACTCAAATGACTTTCCTCAAATTATACCTTTGGTAAGAGGCAGAAGAACAAGTTAATCCTAAATTGTCTTATTGAAATTCTTCCTAGCAAAGCCAGAAATGAGTGGGCATCCCACAATGCACTAGAACACCTTTTTAGGGATGTATAATCTTTCTTACAATTACGATCTAATTGTATAGCCATGTACAAGGCAATTCCCTGGGTGGTCTTATTCCTTTCACATAAGTGTTATATGGCTGAAACTCTGACCCTAAAGTTTCTGATCCATGACTTAAATTCAACAAGAAAAAAGGAGGCAGATTTCAGGGCTTTGTGTTCTGTCCTCAGCGCCATCCTGTTAGCATCATTAATACGTATGAAGATATAGAATGTCTGCTTATTGCATTCACAGAGCCAAGAAATAGAATTGAGATACAATTGTATTCCATATAGATAATCTTCTGGATATATCAATGGGTAGAATCTAACAGGTTGAAATGTGATGGTGATAGGTGCAAATTCTTATACCCACATCTAAACATTGCTTGTTAAACTTGTTGGGTAAAGGCATAAATATCTCAGAGGATTTTAGTAAACTGTAGCTTCATGACTACGTTGGCATGACGATGAAATAATCAAAGGCACTTTGAGCCAAACTGGGGCAGCCTTCTAATTAAGGACTTAGGTGAAAAAGAGGAATTGCAATTGACTTATGTGTCACCTCACAAGTCAGGTATGGGACACATGGCTGGCAATAACTGAAATCTAGAATGTTACCAAAACATGGAGATGGCACCACAAACAATTAGAACTTTCCAAAAATGTAGATCTGACATGATTTTAAGTCCCAACACCATTACAAGCTCTGGAATCTTAAATCAATGGTAGTCGCACTTTAATTTCTTTCATTAATTAAAGGAGGTGGGAATCCCTAGGGGGATTCCTCTGGAGACTACCTGAAGTAATGCCCCTGGGCTATTCAGCCAGATCCACACTATTCAATCCTCTCTTCCTTCTCAGAGTTGCTGTGAGGGTTCCAGGGCTGGTATTTGAGAGAAGCTACACTACTCTCCAGAAGTTTAAGCAAGAGCGAAATTTCTAATGTGATTCTGGATCAGAAGACACTTCAGAGTTCTGTGTCCCTTAAGAGTCACAGACTTTCACAGTTTTGATCCATGAGCTTGTCATTCATTGACTGTAAAATACTAGTTTGAGTCGCCCTTCCTCAGATCCCTCACCAAAGAAATCACAGTGCATTTCATTTGTAACTACGTGAGCCAAAGCATCCTTTTAAAGGTGAAAAAATCCAACAGTTAGTCACTTGGTTTGATTCCCAGGGGTTCAGAAGCCAGGCCAAGGAATCTGTGTTTCTGTAGGGGACTCCAAGCCCTGGTTCCTGGAGCACATGGCATGAGAATCAACTGGCGAAACTGAAGAAACCCACTTCTCCCTCCAGGGCCATACACTTAAGAGATTCCATGTACACATCATCCATGAATGTGATTTACTGCACATTTCTTTCTTGGTTCGGTGGTTCATTTAGTCAGAAATGCTAAGTATTCAACCTCAGTTCTTTTACATGGGATATGCTACCTTGCGTTAGTCATTTAAACTCTGCTATCCTAAGTGTGTTCAGTTTTAAAATTCCCGAAGGATAACTTAAGTCTGTCAAGTTGCTAGTTAAGTGAGGTGGGTACGCAGTACAGTTTGGCTCCTTCTACTTTGAAGGTGGTGATTCAAGTTTTGTGATTCCATTTCTTTCTGTCTAGCATATGAATACATTAGTTTGATTTGCCTGACAAAGACTAGTTCAAAGCTCTGTAAGCCATTGCCATGGTCGTCAGGGGTCCATTGATGGGGGCAGAGATGGGGAGGGAAGCTCCTGAAGAATGTCCTCTCCACCTCATTCCTTCATCAGGCTTCCCTAAGAAATGTGCTGGGTTCAAGCAGGGCTGAAGTAAGTACCAAGGAGGGAAGTCATATATACCAGTAGTCTTAACTAGCAGACAGTGCCCACACACTTGATAAACAAGCAGCAGATGGCTGATAGCTCTTGTAAATTCATTCACTCCCCCTCTGGGCTAGGGCCAGATTTGAAGAGGGCCTTTAGCTGTGAAATTCTATTACCAATCCCATTTCCAGTCCGGAGAGACGGTCAGTCCCCCAGGAGTGGAAAATAGCTGTTTTCAAGAACTGAGAATAAGATTGCTCCCTGAGATTCATTGTGCTGAGCATACAGTGACTTAGAGTCACCATTTATCAACATCGGGTGCATATCACACACAGGAAAATACATGTGGCCAGCCAGCTGGAGAGAATATTCCAAACCCAATGATGATTGAACCAAAACAAAACTACCACTATGCAGACAGTAAGTGTAAGTCTCCCAGGAGGTGGAAGACAAAGCAATACCTGAACTTGTGTGGAAATCTCTGAAGATTCGTGTATGTATGTTTCGAGCCTGTGCCTGGCACAGGCTCAGAGCATCCTTATACCCGGGACATATGGGATGATAGTTACATGTAACAGTGATAAATGGAAAGAAAGACAGCACAGGCTGGGTTCTGTCTCTACCCTAAAAAATCTCTGAACTTGATTTCCCCTCACTTGTTCTCATTCTTAAGTAACAAACGTTATTAGTGACTTAAAAATCACTACCAGTGATAAGTGATTCAAGAGGAAAAGTAATTATGAAACATGATTAATTATAATTATAGGCTAAATGCAAGCTCCCTTTCCAGATATAAGGCAAAGAGAAATGCAAACTGCTTCTTGACTTGCATTACACATTTTGGACAACTTGGCTGTTATGTTGAATTTGCAACTGTCACCCCAGATCTGTACCAAATGTATTTTACAGTTCATTGGGAATTGCTTCAAAATTACAAATGTCTTCCCAAGGAAATCTGTTGCTGAGTTTGTTCAGACAAGGCACTCCTTTATGTGTATCTTGCCGAGAAGAAAAGGCTCTCTGATAGAAGTCTCCTACCTGCTTTGGCCTTCAGTTTGATATGGACAGCCTGGAAAGATCAGCCAGTCCGAAGCAGCATAGAAACCTGGTCTGCCTTATCCAGAGTGATACAAACTAGATACAATAAGAACCTGGCTTGAGTGAGGGAACGGATTCCTGAAATTTCTGGAATGAACCCTGATTGCATGACTTTTGAAATTAATAATTCTAGAGCAGTTCCTGTGACAATAAATGCTAGTACTACTTTTCTGCTTATGTGTCAGGTACAAGCGCTCTACACATGTAATGTTTAAAAATCTGTCCAACAACCCATAGGAAGGCTGGTACGATTTTGCTCAATGTATAGATGAGAAAACTTAAGCTCAAAAGATAAAATTTTTTCAAGGATGAGATTTAAAATCCAGTAAGTTTAAGTAAGGGCTACCATGTTTGACTGAACAATTTATGCCAATTAGGTGAATGGGGGCTAAAATTCATCCTCCTCCACTCACCATGCTATGAACCCTATGAGGTCAGTGTCCACTCGGAGGAAAGGGCACCTTTTGCACTGCAAGAATGAGTACTAAGCCATGGTATCTGAAGCCCATCTTTCCACACCTACACCATAAATGAACCTAGAGATCTGAGTTCAGCAGGTTGTGCTTTGACAATATGCTGCCAACTTTGAGTGAGACACACTCAAGAATTCTCTGGATGGAAGCACATACTATATATAAATACATTACAGGTTACTGTAATGGAGTATTGCCCGACAATGTTGATTAGAGAATTAACTATTTTTTTTCAAACCTAAGAATGAAGGAATGCATTAATCCTCTTAAGAAATCTCTATTTTTTTAAATCAAAGACAAATTTCCAGTTGTTTTAGCAACTATATAACATGTGTCTAGATATCTATACACTTACTTGCTCCCAGTGTTATTTTTCTAACATTTCCCTAATATCTATTTTAGTTGTACCTATTCTTTTAAGTTAGATTACCTTTTATGGAACAAATATGGAAGTAAGCATAAATAGACAATTAATGACAAAATCAATCAATATAACCCCAAGGAACACAATAACTCAGTTTAAAGTTAGAGCATTAACGATACCCTCCCTAAATTCCATTGCTTTTAAGACCTACCCTTGACAAGGTATCATATCCTGGTCCGGGATCCTTGATTCCTCAAGTTGCTGATATGCTGGTCCCACGATGCCACCCAGCCTACTTCGGGGCGAGGGGGGTGTCCTCCTGAAGGCATTCCTATGGAGCATACCACTCCTTTGCCCTGGGCTGCAGCAAGAGGAGAGACTCCTGCTGGGATGAAAGAAAACCAACATAGCAATAACCTTACAGGTGGCTGCTCAAACTTTTCTGACACTGCTTTTTCACCCCAGACACTCAAAATTCTAGGCTCCATTCATGACTGTAGAATATCTGCTAGGAGGAGATCAGAAGTTGGTGAATCCATTCACCCTCCCAGAAACTGAGACAAAGAGAAGTTCCCATGTTTTTGGCTTTCTAGTTTGAAGTACAATGGACTAAAACAATTGCAGCTTTCCAGCCAAAGATAAGAGGTGGGCTTAAGGAGTTCTCAAGCTCCTGATTCTCAGCCACCCTCATTATCCAAGATATAGTAGCTGCCTCTCTAATAAAAATAAAAATGGCTTTGTTATTAGACACTGACAAAAATTAAACACAGGAACCCTCAAAGGGATTCACAGGGAAAAGTTCACAGGGAAAAGTGTTAATGGTAGAATAAGTAAACCTCATTTGAGTTGGCATTGTTTCTTTACCATATGTGCTAAATTCCCAGTTCACTACCTCAGATTCTCCTCAATCTTGAGAAACTACATTGGTTTTCTTTTGAACTGGCTTTTAATAAACATCTGATTACATATTTTATTTGACTCATACATCCAAATACCCAAATAGCCACGTTTTCAGATGCCTTCAAAGGGCAAAAGGCATAAATGGGATATATCTTACGTGAGATTCCTACATAGATCATGCTAAACAAAAGCACTAGACTCTATAAAAATCAGTGGCTAATTTGACCAGTTATGTATCCCATACCCATTCCCATCGCCACCCCCACTGAATTTACCCTGCAACCATGGGGACAGTAAGAGAAACTCTGTTGTAGACATTTCATGAGATGCCAGTTTATGTGGTCAAACTGGTTCTGCAGTGTTCAGATAGTAAGTGAACTTAGAATTTCTTGCTGCATTCTCATTTAACTCTAAACAAAACAAAACAAAACAAAACAAAAAAAGCCCTTCTAAAAATACCAGTAAAACCCTACAGAAAAAGATGAAAAATATTTTCAAAATTTCAGCAAACCTATCAAGTTCTAAAGGGACCAGCCTCCCAAAGTAATTTTACCCTTATCACTACATGATTTGGAGTTCTGTAAGTTTCCATCCAGCAACATTACTGTTTGTTCTACTTAACAGATACAAAACAAAACATCTCAAATATTATTTGAGATCAGAGTTTGAGGCCTGACATTTGAGTCCCCATCGACCCTTTCCTAGTTTAGGCAAGGTGACTGATCAAAGTTGACATTCTTCAAGCCAACATTAGCTTCCTGAGTTTGTGCAAATACCAGGTCATACCTTGCAACATATTATACCTTCATTCGTTATCATAATATTTCCTATATGTTGGCAGCATGTGGACCTCTAGTTAGGTCTCCAAGCCAACAAGTTCAAAGAGTTATAATAGCTATTTCCCCCCTCCCTTCCGGCCTCTATCTGTATTATCCACAAGCTATTATGGAGTCCGTGGGGTACTTAGGCTGTGGCACTGGAATTAGCTGCATCTGGGGGTCATCTCAGGTCTGTGCATTACCAGCAGTGTGATACTGGGGGAGGAATTTCTACCAGAATTTTGAAGGGAAAGAGATGGTACTCTAATTTGGGTCATTTGGGGAGATTTTACAACTTACAGACATGTCTTTAGTGTGTAAGGGGTGGGGGAGGAGCCAACATGGGATATATTCTGTATGTCCGGGAAGTAACAACGGGAAGCTGTTACTATCCCTATAACTGAAGGGACAAAGGGAGGGGGGACTACCCGAATGGACAGAGAAGGAGAGTTCCAAGGAGAGGGCCACTTTGCAGGCACTGTGGCCCAGGAAGAGGGACCAGGGATGCAGTTGAGGGAACCAATCAGCGAGGGAGGGTGAATAAGGGCGGGGGCTGCTGTCCCCTTCCACTCTCCCGTCTCTTGTCTGTGCCTCAAATCAAGCCAGTAGAAGCCAGAGGACAAGGGAAACTGCTGCTCTTTCAGGGCACAGGACAAGGCCAAAAAAAGTAAAAAATAGATATGGGTAGGAGAGGTGCAAAAGAAGGGTATCAGCATCATGCTTAAGTATTTTCATAAGACTGCTATAGGGTTAGGGTTAGGGTTAGGGTTTATACAACGTGTTTAGCATGGAACCTGGTGCGTAGTAGGTGCTCAAGCCATGAGTTCTCCTGATCTCTCCACCACAAGTGACAACCCAAAGGCTCGTACTAATCACTGAAAACCCTGGTCTTATTTCACTCTAAAAATAATCTGCACATGTGCTCTCTATAAAAGAGTTATATGGCTAAAATATAATGTAGTACGTATGCCATGGCATAATAGATTTTTCTTTAAGAAGAAAGAGGATTTTTTTTCCTTCGAACTAAACATGAGAAATAATGGCTTTGAATTAATAGCTTTGTTATGAGTTATCCAAATAAGTCATATTTGCAGTGCACAAAAAGAAATTAATTATGCAGAGCCAGCCAAACTGTCACAACAACAATGTCTTCCAGTATGAACTAGTGACCCATCTTAAAAAACAGTTCCTCACCTATTGATCAATCAACTGTTCAAGCCTTCTAACCCAGTGGCTTTTGGGAAGTTATAGAGCAGTTTGCAGGATATATAAATCAGTGACCAGGTTATCAATCATGAAAATGTTTAAGTCTACTGCATGTTTTACAAAACAAAAGCTATGATATATTAAACTATAATTTACAAAGTTCTAAAAGCGCTTTATAAATCAACCCTTGCCTATATATCAGGACACAATGTATGACAACAAATACTGCAGTGCCATTGAACCAAACAAAAAGGAACACTTCTTAAAGATGACCTTATTTAATTTGTGAGTCTTTCCTAGAAATATAGTAGAAGCCAAGTTGAAGATGAGAGTATGCCAACAGACAAGGAGTAGGGGTAGGGTATTTGCAGCTCAAATACATTAGAAACTGTAATTCTTGGGGCGCCTGGGTGGCGCAGTCGGTTAAGCGTCCGACTTCAACCAGGTCACGATCTCACGGTCCGTGAGGTCGAGCCCCGCGTCGGGCTCTGGGCTGATGGCTCAGAGCCTGGAGCCTGTTTCCGATTCTGTGTCTCCCTCTCTCTCTGCCCCTCGCCCGTTCATGCTCTGTCTCTCTCTGTCCCAAAAATAAATAAACGTTGAAAAAAAAAATTAAAAAAAAAGAAACTGTAATTCTTTTTTTTTTTTTTTTTTAGAAACTGTAATTCTTTTTCATTTCAACTTTAAAACATTGATGGCATCATATAGTACTAGAGTAATATTATACATAATTATTTTACTCGGCTGGCTGGAACACCACTTCAACATGTATTATAATCAGCAGGAGAAATGTTGTTTTGGAGAAAATATCCATCTTATAAAAGGCTGATAATTTTGGACTTATTTTTCTAATTAAAGAACTTCCATTAGATCCAGTGAACTAAAATGCTCTTTTAACAGGCAAATATCTGTAAATGCCTCAATTGATATAAGCCAGAACTGGTGGTTAATAAAAGCAATTATCTAATAGCCAAACATATTGCAATTCCAAGTTGAAAATATTTAAACCATTAAAAAAAAACTTAGCAAAACTTTGGTATTTCAGTATCTACTCTTGTAGAATAAGAAAAAAAAACACCATCCAATAATGTGGATTAGTATTGAGAGTGAAAAACTCTCAGTAAATGTGGTCAGCTTCAAGAAAAATCCTTTTTTAGGGGACTCATTGAGAGTCAAGGAAGAAGATAGTTTCCTTGTATAATGCGTGTTTCTGTCATGGAGGTTTTCAAAACATTGGCTAGATATGTGAAAACTAAGGGTCAACAATATTTATCTGTCATTGCTGGGAACAACTTTTTTTTTAGGTTCTTTTTAAATGTATACTTGATATGCAATGTTATATCGATTTCAGGAATACAACATAGTGATTCGACAATTCTATACATTACTCAATGCTCACCACAATAAATCAATATTATTTTTTTATCTTATCCTTTTCTTAAATCTTTTCATATATGTTTTTAAAAAATGTTAAATACCATACTTCTCACTAAGAAAAGGATTCTTTTTTTTTCTTTTTTTTTTAATTTTTTTTTCAACGTTTTTATTTATTTGTGGGACAGAGAGAGACAGAGCATGAACGGGGGAGGGGCAGAGAGAGAGGGAGACACAGAATCGGAAACAGGCTCCAGGCTCTGAGCCATCAGCCCAGAGCCCGACGCGGGGCTCGAACCCACGGACCGCGAGATCATGACCTGGATGAAGTCGGACGCTTAACCGACTGCGCCACCCAGGCGCCCCAGAAAAGGATTCTTAAATCATTCCACAACGTCCACAAAGACTTGGGCTGTAGATTCAGTTGCATGTAAACATAGCATTAGTCCCAAACTTGGGCACTTGGTATGGAACAAAGACTTTCCATTTTCAGATTCTTGTATGTAAAATGCAGCATGTGACTGGAAGACGCTGAAGAACTTGTTTGGCCTCAGAATGTTATACAATTGATAAGAGAACTTTATTTTGGGCTTTCTCCCCCAAACAGCCCGATTTCTATGGTCAGCTTGCAAAAGAGTGCCACCCCATTGGTAACATCTTATAAACCCAAGGTTAAGATCAGCCAAGCTTCCTCTCCCTGAAAAGTTTTCCTTGTGTGAGAACCATGTTAGAAGACCTGGAGGGTGTCACATCAGCTACCTAGGGAAGAATTAGTCATTAAATTTGCAGACGGTGATAAGGCAGGCTAGGAAAAGTCATGTTTTTAATAGTTTTTCAGAATGCAATTGTTTCATTCACTGGTCTGTGTCTGCAGCTTTGATGGGTGTTGTTAATAATTCCTTCAGGCTTCTTATAGGGACATTGCTGCCTGCTGTTATCTTTGGTTTACTTGCTGTGAGCTGTTTGAGCATCCACTCCATGGAGAACTATAGGGGAAGCAAGAACAATCATCTCTTCTGAATAAGATTGCCATTCCTTGGCATGTGTTGTCCAGCATAATATATAGTGTGAACGTGCCCATTCCCACCATGAGTAACTACCTGTACCTGTGGTGTTTGATAGATTGGCTTCCTCTGTCAGGAGAAGGGACCTCTGGGAATGACTGGGGGCCGGCAAAACTTGACTCCATCATTTTCTCCAATGCAGTCACTGGATGCCTTTCCGCCTTTGAATACTGTGGGAAACCACATGCACAGAGTTGAGCTGGGGGATAAGTTGTGAGAGGAGGGTCTATCACACCATAGCTAGATATGAAAAAGTTGCCGAACTTGCCAGTAACTTGTCCACTGGGCACCTGAGCAGGAGAATGATAGAGAAATCATTTGCACCCCATTTCTCACACACTGAGTAGTCTATGCCCTCCCTCCAAACATTCTGTGCTTAGATAAAGGTCCATCCAGGAGGGTTCTTCACTTAGAATTTTAAATATGTCTTCTCATTTCAATCTACACCCATGGCACACTGTGCCTGACAGGCAAGAACACAAGTATTTTTTATTCAGTGTACATTTTATACGCACAAAAAATTAACTAGTACCTGGACTACTAGTAGTAGGGATTCAATAAATGCTGATTGAGTGAACCCCAGAAAATTCTCAGAATTATGGAAAATATTGATTCAGAGTTTCTGTCCACCAACCTCCACCATTCCCCTCCTTCAGCATTTACCAAGTAATTACTGTGTTTAACAAGAGAAATTTGTAAGCATTTCACTCTTTATTAAGCCTTGGTTTCACCTTTGTCATACAAGGCTCAGGAGACTTTCGGAAAACCTATAGAGGTGATACATTAAGAAAAACTTTGTCCCAAGGAAAGCATCACATGGCATCTCAACCAGGCAGCAAGTTGTCAAGTTTAATACTCTCTGGACACACAGCATTTGAACAAGCAACAAAGGCTAGTGAGTTTCTTTTCCAGAAACTCCACATAAAAACTATCCCAAGAAATGACATTTTTAGAGTGCTAACCAATCCAGGGAAAATTTCAAAGTCTGTATATTCATATCTAATGTATGAACAAGAATTTCAAAGAACAATTAACACAGATGCGCAATATACATATGAAAAGGTATACAACTGCACATATTTTGTAAAGGGATAAAATTCAGAATAGAGAAATTAAATTTCAAAAAGATCTAGTAAAGTTACAGATCCAAGAAAAGTAGACCTGGTACAAATATGTTGGGGTACAAATTTTCAATATGTTCCAAAATATTGAATGTACACACTCTTTGATCCAGAATATTACTCCTAGGACTTACCATTATTAGTAAAATTATAAAAGTTCAAAATGATATCATCACTACCGTATGTCAGTGGTACAATTTTTCCTTTTTTAAAGTTTATTTATTTTCTTTATTTTTTAAGTGTATTTATTTATTTTGAGAGAGAAGGGAGGGCTAGAGTAGGGGTATAGAGAGAGGAGAGAGAGAGAATCCCAAGCAGGTTGTTAGCACAGAGCCTGGTTGTGGGGCTTGATTTCATGAACCATGAGACCATGATCTGAGCCGAAATCAAAGTTGGATGCTTAATGACTGAGCCGCCCAGGTGCCCCATTTTTCTTTCTTTCTTTCTTTCTTTTTTTTTTGTGTGTGTGCAATTTTTAATAACAAAACAGAAAACAACCATAAAAACAGTTAGAAACAATAGAAATACCCACAAATAAAAACTATACAACTATTGAAAAGAATAAAATCAAGGTATAAAAAAGTATGCCTAGGGGCACCTGGGTCGCTCAATTGATTAAGTATCTGACTTCGGCTCAGATCATGATCTTGTGGTTCATGAGTTCGAGCCCTGTGTTGGGCTCTATGCTGACAGCTCAGAGCCTGGAGCCTGCTTCAGATTCTGTGTCTCCTCCTCTCTCTGCCCCTCCCCAGTCATGCTTTGTCTCTCTCTTTTTTTCAAAAATAAACATTAAACAGTTCGCATAATATGAAGGCATTTGCATAAATAAGGAAAATGCAGCAGATACACACATGTTGTGTGTATCTATCTATCTATATATATACATACACAAATGTGTATGTATATATATAGAAACACACACATATATTTAGCTTTATGTATATATGTGTGTGTGTGTGTATATATATACACACACACAAAAACACATATAGATTTTGTATGTGCATATATATTTATGTGTGTGTTTGCATGTCTGTGTGTTTCCCATGCAACCACACAGGACACAGATGAAATAAAAAAAGGAAAATACACTATGAACTGGATGTTTTCCTTGGGGAAAGTGTGTCAGTGGATATGGGCTATTGAGACTAGGCAAAATGTCAAGGTTATGTATCTAAACTTAAGATGGCAATCTCTAAATGTTTGCTTTTTTAAGTACTTCCAAAACAAACCACATAGTGGCAGTAATAACCATGTCTTGACTCATAATCTACAAAGTGGATTTAGAGAAGTTGGTCAGACTTTTTGCAAAATGGAGTAAGTTGACACAGAATAAAAAGAAGATATGGAAATAATTTGGAAAAGATGGTTATTGTCAATAATCCAAAATTTTAAAGATCCAAAAATGATGTAAATACCTTCATGTGTGCTTTTTTTTTGACTGATTAATGTCAATTATTACAAACCACCATGGGAAAAGTGAATTGAATGGACATGTTACTGGAATGTAACCAACATTGTGACCTTCCATTTGACTTTCAGGTTTTATAAAAGACTGACTAGGGGTTTGTTTGATTGTTTGTTTTTTAATCCCAATTTCTTTAACATTTATTTATTTTTGAGAGACAGAGAGAAGCAGAGTATGACAGGGGAGGGGCAGAGAGAGAGGGAGACACAGAATTTGAAGCAGGCTGCAGGCTGTAAGCTGTCAGCCCAGAGCCGGACGCAGGGCCCGAATTCACAAACTGCGAGATCATGACCTGAGCCGAAGTCGGATGCTCAACCGACTGAGTCACCCACGCGCCCCTTTAATCCCAACTTTTAATAAATTCATTTAGAAGACAAACTTGCTTGGAAGTCTCAGCTACAGAAACAAGTGATATAATCTAGAGGTATCTGTGTGAAATGGAAGGAGGTAAGTCTGTGCTCCTCCAGAGGTCTGTGGGGGCAATATCAACCAAGTGTTTCTGGAGCATCTAGATTTTCTAGAGAAATCACTGAATCATTGAAAGTCAGCAAGCCATTCATTTTTTTTTTTTTAAAGCAATGTATGCCAAACAGACTAATTATGTGTTGGGGCCATTAGTTCAGAGCCTCTGCCTTTTGGGTGTGTGTGTGAAATTCCAATTGGTTTTTATTTTATTTTCCAGTGTAGTTAAAATACAGTGTTATATTAGTTTCAGGTGTGCAATATGGTGATCCAACAGTTCCATGCATTACTCAGAGCTCATCAAGATAAGTGTGCTCCTAATCCCATCACCTGTTTCATCCATAAGGCACCAACCTCCTCTCGGTTTGTTCTAGAGAATCTGTTTTCTGGTTTATCTCCTTTATCTCCTTTGTTTATGTATTTTGTTTCATAAATTCCACATGTGAGAAAAATCACATTGTATATGTCATTCTCTGACTTATTTTGATTAGCATTATACTCTCTAGCTCTATCCATGTAATTGTGAATGGCAAGACTTCATTCTTTTTTATGGCTGAATAATATTCCTGTGTGTGTGTGTGTGTGTGTGTGTACATACCTCATATTTTCCTTATCCATTCTATGGACAGACACTTGGGCTGCTTCCATAATTTGCTTATTGTAAATAATGCTACAATAAACATATGAGGTGCATATAGCCTCTGCTTTGAATGAGATTTTTGATCATGAAAGCTAAAAGGCTCTTTTTCAAAACCCTGGATGAAAGTTTTGAATAGACTCAACCTCTTGGTTTGCTTATTTATAGTATCTATAATAGATAATATGTTCTAAATCTTTTCTTTCAAATGCTTGCATTGTTGTCATACAGTTGCTTTCAATTATACTATTTTGGTCAATTAACACAAATTTGTTTTCAAAATTTATTATTTTAGATTTTTCCTCTCTCACACAGACTTTATGAGAATCTTTCATTAGTGGCTATGCTTAACATGAGATTCAGGTTTAAGTTGCTGTATTCCTATCCAGGGTTGGTTGAGACATATGGAACACTAAAAATATACAAATAATTTGGTAATCCTTCAAACTAATATTCTATACATATTGGTTCAAATGAATTTAGAGATATATTCCAGTTTACAGTTCTGACAAATAAAGAGCTTAAAAATTGTCATTCCTGTCCCTACAATAAGAAAAAAGCTGAACAAACTGAAAATCAATGACTGTTCTTATAGCCATTCAGTAATTGAAGTTGCATGACAAACCACCACTCTGAAATCTGGACAGACAAGACAATACAAGAACTATGGTCAAGATCAGCTTACCTAGAGCAGAACAAAGAACCAAAAAAGAGAAAAAAAATCATCTCATATCTGACATGGGTAGGGTGAAAGTAACCATTTTGAAATGGCTGTTTCTACATGAAAAAAGACATTATCAAAGCATTATATCACCTGAGGGAAGAGTTTCCCCCCTGAGTCCCTGCTCCTGTAACCTTCCTGTCTCACATAAGGGGGAAAAAGTGAAGAAACACTTCTCATGGTCATAGGCCAGTAAAAGAGTGAAATATAATCATAAGATTATAGATGAGTTCCCCTCCACAGCTCCTTAACACCACATCAGTAGGACTCCTCTATAATAACAGTAGATTACAGCTGACAAATTATAAGACACACACTCTATTTAAGAAGGAGTTCTTAGGAGAACCCAAAGACACAACTAAACACAACAAAACAAACAAACTAATAAAAGACATTAGCTGATTTTAAAGCCCCTGGCATCTATAGCTAAAGCAAACATTAAATGAAACCCAGTTGCTATCCAGATTAACATAGAACCTACACTAAACATGTATTTACCTGAGGTCTACTCAACGTATCATGTTTACCTTTTAACAAAAAAATCTAAAGGCATACTAGAATATACGTATATTTAAAAAATGAAGTCTGAAGAGACAAAGTAAGCACCAGAACTTGAATCAGGTACCATAAAAGTGTTGGCGTGATCAGACATGGAATTTAAAATAAGCATGATAACTATGCTTAGGGCTGTGAAGGGAAAGGTAGACAGCATGCAAGAACAGATGAGTAATGTAAGTGGAGAGATGGAAACTGTATGAAAT